CTAGAAACGCCTTGGAATATTGCCAAAAGATTTGAAAGAAGGACATTTCGTACAAGAATGGCAGGAAGTTTATGAAGATTTAAAAGCCGACATTGAAGAAGTTGATGTTAGTGCTGGGATCGCATCAGTTTTAGCTATTAAAGATGATGATGAATTGGTATGTTAATGATTATACCTGGTCGCTTGCTGTTAAAATCAAGATACGAGATATATAGTAAATCATATGATCCGTAACGTGATTTTAATGGTAAAAGTTAGTAATTAAATATAAATACGAATGTACTTATATCATTGATTGATGCATTTTAAAATAATTCCTTTCAATATTTAGAAAACAATCAAAGCTGCCTGTAAACTTAGTTCCTTGGTAATGCAACATTTCATTGGAGTTGTGACTTCCATTATTGATGAAGAGAAACAAGTCACTCATGAAAAGTTATCTGAAGATATTGATAACCTATTGATAAGTGAACAAAATTCTTTCCTTAAAAAAGGAGTTCAAGACGTATGTATGCTGAAAATGAATCATATGAATGATATGCAAAAGTAATGGTTCATATAATAACATTATATTACAACATTTATATCAGGTTGATCTTTCGCGAGCAGAATTTTGTTATACTCCAATTATTCAAAGCGGTGGTGTCTACGATTTTAAATCTTCGGCCGAATCTGATGAGCGAGTATTACATGACGGAACAATTCTTTGTTCATTCGGTCTACGGTACAAATCATATTGCTCAAACATTGGCAGAACTATTTTATTCAACCCGACGAAGGTATTTTTTGTGGATGTTTTAATAAAAAGGAAAATTTATTAATCTGTTAACAATGTTTTCTTTTTTTCTTTTTCTAAGGAACAAGAAAAGAATTATGAAATTCTTTTAGAACTGCAGCGGCGTATTGTTGATAACATAAAAAGCGGTGTTAAGCTTCGCGATGTTTATTTGAAAGCCGTTAATTTTGTTAAAAGTAAGAAGTCCGATCTGGTTAACCATTTCGTAAAGAGCCTTGGTCATGGGGTAAGGATTTATCATTTTAACCACTTTTTTTTAAAAAAAGAAATTGAATACATATATTAAAAAAATGTCATTTAATTTTTTTTATTTAATTTTTTTTTTTTAGATGGGAATTGAATTTAGAGAATCTGCATATTCTATAAATTCCAAAAACACTAAAGAGTTCAAGCATGGAATGGTTTTTAATTTGTTTATCGGTTTTCAAAATTTAGAAAATCCAAAAGCCACAGATGAAAAGGGAAAAATGTACCTAAGTTAATCTTAATTATTTAGAATTATTCATTGTTGAATATTCCTCGGACTAAATCATTTTTTATCTCGAATATTGGGTTCAAAAGCTATTCACTTTGGATAATAGATACAATTAGAGTTTCTAATGAAACAGCAACTTTACTCACAGAAGGAAATAGAAAGTTAGATAATATGGCCTTTTCTTTTCAGGTACTTGTAATATATATATATGCGTAGATAAATTTTTTTTTTAAAAAAAAAAAAAACACTTAAATAATGATGTTTATTTCATTTGTTTAGGATGGACCTGAAAGTGATCAGGAATCAAAAAAAGAGAACAAACGTTCTGCTCAAAAAGTTGAGTCAAAAAGAACTGCTACAAGGAAATCTACCATTTTGAAAAGTAAATTCAGAAGTGAAGACAAAGTGAGATTTTTTATTTTAATACTCTTAATTATCAATTTCAATCATTATCGTTTATCAAAGAGAGATTTCCTTTTGTTCTAGGATGAAGATTCTGAACAAAAACGTAAAGACCATCAGGCAGAATTGGCTAAACAAAAGCAAGCCGAAGGATTGGCTCGTTTTGGAGATGGTATAGATCATCAAACAAGCCAGAGGGAAGCTGTTTTTAGAAAATTCGAAAGTTATAAGAGAGATACGGCCCTTCCAAAGGAAGTCAAAGATTTAAAGGTATAAATAACTGTAATTTAAAATAAGGCATTATATGTCATTGAATAATAAAATCTTATTATAGATAGTAGTAGATCAAAGAAATGAATCAGTTATTCTTCCAGTTTTCGGGCTAGCCGTTCCTTTTCATATTTCTACTTTGAAGAATGTAAATAAGACCGAAGAGGGAGAATACACTTATTTGCGTATAAATTTCCTAACGCCTGGACAAGCTTCTGGAAAAAAGGAAGATATGGTAATATTTAAATAAAGTTCTCATTCATTCATCATCCTATACATTGATTTACTAGTTTTTTCTTTTTATCTCTTAAGCCATTCGATGATCCGACTGCAAACTTTGTACGTGCTGTTACTTATCGAAGCACCGATGAGAATTTGTCTGAAATTTATAGGAAGATAGTGGAACTTAAAAAGACCGCTGCAAAAAAGTGGGGAAATTTGCACAAATTTTTTTAATTTATTTAAATAACAAGATCCAATAATTGACTTTGTATCTCTTATTCTGTGATTAGGGAAGCTGAAAGGAAAGAGATGTCGGATTTAGTTGAACAAGATAAGCTGATTGAGTTAAGAGGTATTCATTTATATATTCGTTTTTTTTTTTTAAAAAAAAAAAAAATTTATAACCTCCATTAACTCTTTTTTTTTTAGGTCGACGACCGACAAATCGATTGTCAGACGTGTTCGTTCGTCCAGGCCTGGATGGAAAACGTATACCTGGTGAATTAGAAATTCATGAGAATGGGTTGCGATATCAATCACATCGTTCCAACCAGAAATTAGGTTAGTAACAATTAATATTTTTTTTATTCGTTATTTTCATGGCAGTAAACTTTATTAATTGTGATTTATTGAACGAAATTTAGATATTTTGTTTAGCAACATTCAACACTTATTTTTCCAGCCATGTGATAATGAACTCATCGTGTTACTACATATACATCTTAAGAATCCGGTTATACACGGGAAGAAAAAAACCCAGGTTTGTAAAATTTATATTATTCTTGGGGAAGACATTCAACTTACTAACATCACCATTTAATTAAATAGGATATACAATTTTATCGTGAAGCATCTGATGTACAATTTGATGAAACAGGGAATAGGAAAAGAAAATATCGCTATGGCGATGAAGATGAACTTGGAGCTGAACAAGAAGAAAGGAGGCGGAGAGCCTTATTGAATAAGGAATTTAAAGCCTTTTCGGAGAAGATTGCAGAAGCAGTAAGAAATAAATCTCAAATATTTATTTCTTCTCGTGGATTTCTGAACATACATATGCTTTTATTCATTCATGACAAATTTTTTTTAATACTTTAAGAGTGAAGGGCGAGTGGATGTTGACATCCCCTTCAGAGAAATTGCCTTTCAAGGTGTTCCTTTCCGAACCAATGTGTTACTACAACCCACAACGGATTGTCTCGTTCATTTAACGGATCCTCCATTTCTGATAATTACAATCGCTGATGTTGAAATCGCTCATTTGGAACGCGTTCAGGTAGCGTTATGAAAAAGTCATTGCTCCTCTTCAATGTCGATTCGTCATTTTATTCTAATACTCTTGCATATACTAGTACGGATTGAAAAACTTTGATCTGGTTTTTATTTTCAAAGATTACACACGTACTCCAGTGCATATTAACACAATTCCCATGAATCAATTGGAAAATGTTAAAGATTGGCTCGAGTGAGTAGATAGTAAATTTATTAATATATATAATTTTTTTTTTTTTACTACAATCGATAACTGATGTTTAAAAAAAATTTATAGTCACGTGGACTTGGTATTTTACGAGGGACCACAAAATTTAAATTGGACTCAAATTATGAGGACAATTAGTAAAGATCCAGCAGATTTCTATAAGAACGGCGGATGGTCTTTCTTAAGTATGCATGGCGAGGTAAATATCCGTGATTATAACAATAGAAAGGTTTTTTTCCTCCCCGAGTAATTTCTAATTTGTTTATCTTAGGGTGATGATTCAGAGACTTCTACTGAAACAGCCAGCGAATATGTTCTCAGCGAGAGTGAATTTAGCGAAAGTAGCGTGAGTGTCGGTATATGTTTGTTATTGATAATATTCCGTGACTTATTCTTTGCAATTTTTATCAGAGCGATGATGATAGTCGTGTTGACGAAGAAGTATCTGAATATTCAGAAGAAACAACTGATGATAGTGGTGAAAGTTGGGATGAGCTTGAAGAAAAAGCGCGTAAAGGTAATTATTATATAATTTTGAATAAATCATTTGTAGAATGGAAGGAATATTTAACAACGAAATTTTATTTATAGCCGACGAACGAAAGGAGGTACCGAAACGTAAAGAAGTATTTGAAGACACGCGCGGGACAAACAAAAAAACTCGTCGTTAATAATGTAATTAAATGTATAAATGTATTAATGTTTTACAAACTATATATTTTTTTTTTTTTCCATAAACGAAAAAAAAAGATGATTTTTTTTTGTTTTTAAACAAAACAGACGTAAAAAAAAAAATTTTTTTTTTTTTTACTATAAATATCCATAACAAAAAATATATACAAAGAAAAAAAAATTTTTTTTTTTTTTCATAATCAATTCCCGATAATAATAATTTCACGAAAAAAAAAAAAAAAATAAAAAAAAAAAAAGTTTTTTTTTTTTTTTAAAAATATTATAATATAATAATATAAAAGTAAGAGTAATAATATATATCTACAAAATTATTATAAAGTTCTTTGAATTTTTTCTTTTTAAGATTATCGACTACCAACATCCTCCCAACTACCACCTAAAATTTCTTTTAAGCTATTCTCATCCACCGAACTTTTTTGCCAACCGGATAAAAGTCCTTCGGGTTCATTTGTAATACTTTCAATATCTTCTTCAGTAATACCATCAGCATCCCCCATAGTTATACAACCTAGGTGACCGGATTTACGTCTTAATTGAGCCAAATATCTTAAAGAATCACACGTTACAAACCTACAACCTATTATCGTCAAGCAAACCAAAGAATAACTATTATTTGCTATAGATTGTATTGAATAATTTGTTATAGAATTCATATAAGATAAATCCAACAATTGTAAATTTGGACATAGTTTTGTTAATAAAGTTATTGAAGCGTCAGTTATATCATCCTTGTCAACTCCAACCACATCATTAAAATCAAGATAAGTTATGGGAAGAAGAGTAGGACTAACAAGAGCGGAAGAATAAACGGCGTCTAACGGAGAAGGTCTCGCCAAATTTAACCATTCTAAATGTTCACCACAAGAATTCGCAATGACTCTCACGGATGAATCGGTAATTTTACCTATTCGCGCGATATCTAACCAAGATAATCGGGTACAATTTTGTACCAACACTTCAATCGATTGTTCAGTCACCCTTGGACAATCGGATAACCTTATCTGTCGCAACCTAGGACATGATCTCGCTATAAATATGACACCCTTATCAGAGATTTTACCACAATCAGCCATGCTTAAAGAGGTAAGAGAATGACACGACTTTGATAAATATTTTAACCCCAAATCAGTGATCTTCCTACAACCACACAGGTTTATTGAAATTAACGAGGAGGAACAAGAATTCTTCGCCAGAGCTTCTAATGATGCATCGGATATGTGAGAACATCTACTAAGGTTGATACGCCTCAAATTTGGACAGGACATCGCTATCAACTGAATCGTACCATCGGTGACGTGATCGTGACCGGTTGATAAATCCAGCATCCTTATGAGAGGACCATATTTTTTAATGGGAAAATTTTGTGATAAATGACAAATTTGAGGAGATTTATAAAGGAAAGGGGTTACTATATGATTCCATGATTTACATACGAATAAACAATTGTAAAGATCTCTTTTGGTTGGTAATTGTTCAAGCACGCACAACATTAATTCTATGGGTAAACGATGAATTGTCGCTTTCTTGACCACGTGATATTTTTGTTTGTTCATGATGGAGATACTGGACGAGCTACGCTTGGAAGGTTTGACGGGTGAATTAACAGAATTTCGCCTTCTTTGAATCCTCATTGGTGTATTAATATTTCCCTCTGAGATCAATTTTAATTTCCGTCGCTGTTCCTCGATAAGTAATCTTGCGCTACTAGTTGAAGAGGAGGAGGAAGAAGAAGTGGTGGAAGAGGAGGAAGAAGTTGAGGAATGGGAGTGGGAAGATTGGGAGGAGTGGGAGGCGGTAGAAGAACGAAATTGCTGTCGTCTCCTCTTCTTTCCATGACGAGTCGATGAAGAGGGATAACCATTACCACTGTTTAATAAAGAATTATAGGAAACGCTCCCCTTCTTGTAATCCAATGGTTCTGATAAAATCTGCTTTATGATTGTCTCTATCAAGTTTAACACTGGCCTACAAAAGAAGAGTATGGTAGAACACCATAATTTCATCCCGATATAAATCAAATTTAAGATCATTTTCTCTTTTTTTCTTTATTTTTCCTTCGTTTAAAAAGAGTTTTTCGCGTTGTTTTAATAACTCTAAGTATTCGAGCTTTTTTTGTCATAAAAAAATATATATAAAAAGAAACTTGAATATAAATTTTATATAAAAATTTTTGAAATTTTTGAAAGGAAAAGAAAAAATATTTTGAGGAAGTGCTAAAAAAGTATTGAAAAAAGAAAAAAAAAAATTTTTTTCACACTTAAAAATAAAAAAAAAAAATAAATTGTGGTTTTTCTTATATATAGTAAGAGATGAAAAAATTTTTTTTTATTTTTTTATTTTTTTTTTTCCTGTCAGAACAATACAATACCAGCAAGTCAACTATATATAAGGTTTTTTATATGTGTTTTTTGAACTACATTGATTTACAATATTTGGGTGATATAAAAAAAAAAAAAATTTTTTTTTTTATTATTTTTCATTGTATTATTTTTATTATTATACAGTAAGACATCTTATATAAATATTATAAGATTAATATAGAAAGTAAAAAAAAAAAATAATTATTATTAGGGCGTTTAAGATTATATAATTGGATATCAAAAGGTATAGGGAAACGAGCACATCGAATGTAAGAGGTACCTTGAGACGGCGAAAAGAATCAAAAAAAGAAGCGAACACATAAATGTCCACGTAAACACAGAATACACTCAAATAAGTAAGGGGGGATGGGGGGGGGGGGAAGGGAGGGAGAAATCACAATAAAATAAAATCACATATAAAGCTGTCAGATGGATACTTTTATGTGGTGCCCATTGTATTCGTCGTGTTTTTTAAAGTTCAAATAATGTAACCCATACATTAAGTAATCAACCATCCATCTATAACAAGTTGATAATTGGAATAAAATCACATCAATAAAATCAGCGAAAAAAAACGGGTTTGGGATTAGCGAAAACAAATTTTTTGGTAATGATGATTACCGAATATCTTTTTTTTTGTTGTTGTTGACGATAAATAAATTGACTAAACTGGAAAGAGATTGATTGAAGAGATTTTTTTTATTTTCGTTTTTTTTTTTTTTTTTTTTTTTTTTTATATATTCCTAGTGGTTTTCTCCAAAAGTAAGGAAAATAAAAAAACTTTTTTGTATTTCGGCGTAATTGTTTACTTATTTATTTATTTATTGTTTGACAAAAATTAAAAAACTAAGATAACTTCATAAATCATAGTCAGACCTTTTACAAAAAATAAAAATATGTGGATTTAACGAGATAAAGGAACCTTGATTTGATTTCGAAACCAAAAAAAAAAACCCCTGAATTAAAACCTATAAAGTGATGAAGAATTTAATGACATTACAACAAAAGAAGATAATCACCGAAAACTAGAAAAAAAACAAACAAACGATAAACATCAAAAATTTAACATATGAAAAAGGCCAAACATTACTCTTTATATAATAAACAAACTTGTGGGAACAATACCATAGGAAAGAAAGGAATGAAGGAAAAAGGAAAAAACAAAAGACCACAAACAAATCAGCAAATGAAAGAAAAAAGGATGCAAAACAAAGCAAAAAGTACATTTAATATTTTGGTTGGATCAGATGAAAATCGGGATTCAAATCTGTGAGAAAATTTTTTCTTTATTTCCTTTATTCTTTATAAAAAAAAAATGGATGATTAATTGAATGAGAAACTGAAATCAAATGTCAGACATTTTTTACAAAATAAAAAAATTTTTTCTTTTTAAAAAGAAAAGATAAAAAAAAACTAGTTTTGTAAATAATGATGCAATTTTTCATGCTATTTACGGAAGAAAAGAGAGAGAAACCTGATTTTTTAAAGATTTCAAAGACATATGTTGAATATATTCCAAGATTACAATGCAATAAATAAGATGTATAGGGAGAATCTGGTTTACGCGAAATCACGAATTACAACATATGAATGCATATCGCGAGCGAAACTTGTTAATTTTTTCACCTACATAAATTTACACTGTAACCAATTGAAAATTACGTTTGTTACACGGCATCTCCACTTATTTAAGTTGATGTAACCAAACTATCTTGCTTTGAGAGGCCGCCGAAAACTAATAATTCTTCTGTAAGAGAATTATTGGATAATTTAACAAAATGAGAAAGTGAAATGGGGGGATTACATATTACTCCATATTCCTATAAAAAAAAAAATTTAAATGTCACTTGCTAGTTAAATTAAGTAAGATCGGGCGGTCTAGCGACTAAACAATGCGCAATGAGCGGATATAAAAAAATTCGAACAGCTCAATTTCAGCTTAGTTCAGACGGTTTTAAATATGCAAAGTCAATTATTTAGATCCGATTTCATCATTTTATGGTTCTCCAAAAAAGTGAAATTCATTTGATGTAAATCTTAATAATTACCTAATGTTTAGAAATAAATTGTGTGTTACTAGTATAAATTAAGAAATATATTTTTTTAATTTAAAGTTTGATGACTTTGGAATACGTAGCATGCTGCAAAAGGTCACACGATATATTCGAATTTAAATTAATTTTGTTTACGGAGTACTTATGGAATTCTTTTAAAGAAGGAAAAAAATTTTTTAAAATGTGCACACATAAATGTACACTCAATAGACTCTCATTTAGTAAAAAAAAAAAAAATTAGAAAATAATGGATGAATGATTCCACCCAAGTTTGTGACACATGGATAAAACCGTATTGTTGTATGACATCATGTAAGTCTTAATCTAGTAAATGTATGGAAGATTGAACATTCGCCAAGGGTCCTTCCAATAATGAAATGTGGATTTCATGTAGAATCCGTACATGGGTATGTCCATGAGACATCACTTCTATGCATAGATATAGATATATTTTTTGAAAATAAAAATTTCTAAGCTTTATATTATGATGATTAATATTTTTTTTTTCAATTTTCACAATAGATAATCTCTCTTTTTGATTAACGCACATAAAAAATAACATGGTAATGTATGAAATCATTAATAACGAATGAATTTATACACCACCAATCTACAAAACAATGACAATGGTGATATTTCATCTCAACCTAAATACTCAAAGAACAATATGTACCTTGGGTTTCTCATGAAATTCCAATGACAAATTTTCGAACAGCATACAAAACGAGAAAAAAAATAAACAAACAATACATTTTAAGAGTTTCACCAAAATACTTTTCCTTTCTTTTAAATTTGTATTTGTTTACTATGTAAAGAAAAAAAACTTGTTTAGTAAAGGAACGAATAAAATCATTTACTATGAGATTGTGAGATTTTAGTCGAAAAAAAAAAAAGGAAACTTTTATATCTTGTGATTTAATTTCCTTGCTAAACGGTTAGACCTAGCGTGTTGAAAATATTTCGCAATAAGATTTTCACTTAAATTTTTTTAGACCAACAAAGTACTTTTTACGGTAATCTCTATTATATCACTCATGAGAAAAAAAAAAGACCACATTTTCCCAAACTTGATTCTTTTCTGTACCATTAAGGGCGAAACTTATTTATTAGATCGACTACAACCAATCACATGAACCCAATTGATTTACCTTATTAGTACTAAATTAGGAGGACGGAGATATAGGTTAGTTGATCAACTGTCAAAATTTTTTTTTTTTCAAGGAACAGCCACTTTGTTTATTTATTTATTTAAAAATAAACAAAATCACAGGTTTTAAAACAAGAAAAGGTTATTAAGTCATACTAGGTTTTTTTTTGAGCAAAAAAATTTTTTTTTTTTTTTTTGAATCCAACCCTTTTTTTTACCGAAGCCACTTTCACTTAAAAAAAAGGGAGGCTTTTTTTTAAAATTCCCTTTTGATATCGGTACTTTGAAAAGATACTATCTATATATATGTATACATTTTTTTTTTTGGTATTTTGTAGGGATGGGCAACGTTCTGTCAATCGTTACGGGCACCTCAAAGACATTTCACAAAGAACTCGGTATTCACTGTAACGCAATCGATGGTCATTATTATTTACGAATAGATGAGCCCCGATTATATCTACCATGTGGTGATAAAGGTTGGTTAAAAAAAGAAAAGTCGACGCATTGACTGAGTTTATATGGTCAATCAGGTTCAAATACTTGGTTGGTCCACTAGGTCAAACATCATACTAAGATAACAATAGACGCATCACATGATTTCATACTCTCTTTTGGCATGGATTTGCTCAAGAAAAAACCCAAAGGTCGAAATCTTAAATCATCATTCCATCACCCCGCAATCAATAAATCAATCAATACCTAAATTAATTAATTTAAAATATAATATAAAATATTTAAGCATAAATCTTCCAGACGGATAATTTTAAATTAAGTTCAGGAAGATCCCCCAAACAGAATTTATGAGAAAATAGAAACGAAATGTGGGGAAAATTTTTTTCCTATGATCGATTACCCTATTCGTCAGTATGACTGAATCAAAGGATATTAACTACATCTGGTTATAATTGATTAAAAAAAAAAACGGAGGATTGCATTCATTGTACAAATAGTTGGCTTCTAGACATTTTCTTAATATGACTTTTTTTTTTTTTTATCTTTTTGACGGACAAATTCAAAAAAAAAACTTTAATAACAGTACCATACTAAGAAATGCTAAACTTCTTTTAGGTGGCTCAATATTATTTTCAAGATCTTTTTGACATATGAATTTTTTGACATTTTCTCACGTGAAAACCATTTACAATAGAGGTCCGTGTCATTCTTGACGATCCCGCAGTATAAAATTTTTTTTAAAATTATCAAAGAACTGAAACAAATTCTCACGAAATATATTATTGTTATTGTTATTTATTCCATTAATGATTTAATATTTATCTTTGAATACAAAATAATAATAATTAATTATAATAAAGTTATTTATTTTACCGAGATGGGAATATTATTTGTTATACAAATCATTTACTTTATTAATCACAACAGAAAAACGTTGAAAAACAGACTCAAAAAGTACCCTTCACCTTAAATCCATGTGGAATCTGTGATTCATTAAAAAAATTTAGATTTATAATCTTTGTGAACTCAATGTCATATTTGTCACTCTAATCACTTTATACAAATGCCTTACAAAGTACAAGTGTTAAATTAGGGCGTGATGCTTAATGCGGTCACATTTAATCTCTGAAAAAAAAGATGATTCATTTTGACACCAAAAAGTCATGGGTGATAAAAAAAATATAAACAAATATAAATAGAGTATATTGTTTTATCAAGTGAGGGTTTCGTTTCTCCATGTTTAATATAACAGGAAAAAGGTGTGTAATGTTATTTACTACGGCGCGTTACAGATCATAAAAAACTGGTTTGAAAAAATATCAGATTAACTTTTTTTTTTAAAAAAAAAAAAAATAGATTTGGCGTAATTCTTTATCTTTATCGGAGGGAAATCATGTGAATAACGAAGGAATTCTTCCAACGTTGTCAACGATTATGTGACAATTTACGTCCTATTTAGCCAAAAAAATAAACCCCCCAAAAACACTTTAGCAATTGATAACTTTTTGTTCCTCTTTCCGGTGTTATTTTAACTTTTCGTGATTGACTCGACCTTCGCTTTAAAATTTATGTTTTTGTACGCTTTGACGGTTCACTGCCCAATTGCGATAAAATTACCTGCATTAGATTGTCTTGTGATCACATTATTTACTCGCAAAATTTTTTTTTTGTTCAAAGGGCGCATCATTTAGATCCCTTTATGGAATGCCGACCAAATTTACACCCGAAAACCATTTAAGAAACAAAAGCGTCAATCCTTTTTTTTTTTTAATTAAACATCATTAATCCTTAAATGTCCGATCAATTCTTGATAAATTTCAAGATCCTTGAGGTTTTCTTTTGTTTATTTTTTTAAAGCTGGTTTAAACTATAATCGAAATCTTTTAAAAGGAGTATAAGCAAATTAGAAAATCAAGTATTAGTGCCTAAACTTTGGTGAAAATTTTGAAGTTTAGGATTGAGTGTTTTACATGTTGTCGACTCATGGAAGGGAAAAAGAATGTCATTTTATTACTTGTGTTTAATTACCAACTTAGGAATAGTCATGAAATTGCGTGCTAATCCATTAACACGAGTAATGCTATCCAAATCCGCAATCTAACATCATTTGGGGTCGACATAAATTTTCATTAATTACGTGCATGACCTATATTTTAAATATGCAAATGATTTTAAGAAGAGATAAGATGAAGTTGGTGATGATCATTTGTAAAACTCGATAGCAAAGAACAGTTTTTTTCAACGAGAAATTATCAAGGCGATACCTCTTTATCTTTTATATAAATATAATTATTTATTTATCTAGTATTAAAATTTAAAGCAAGCAATTCGAAAAAAAAAGGGCGATACTATGAGAAGTTTATGATATTTCGTGATATTTCAAGCATTAGGATATTATGTTTCGTTAATGATAACATCCTATAATATAAACAATAAATCTTTTTAACAGTAAAATGTATCATATAAAATCAAGTTATTGATTTAAGTATATTTTAGTTGTTATTACAAACAGATCATAGCTTAGTTCATCATAACCATTGTACACTTGATTTTACGTTCTTTCTAGATATGAGATTATCTTTATTAATTGATTCAATATCAGGAAAATATGATCGATATAAGACCTTTTTTTAGACAATGGTCAATCAAAAAACTTTTAATTGGTATTAATAAGCCTGCAATTAATTATTATATCAGATTTGGAAATTTTGTATACTTATATTATACTTATACTATACTTATACTAATTTTTATATTGATCAAAAATAAGCATAAATTAATAGAAAAAAAAAGAATGTATATTTATACTTAATTGTTTCAAAATTATAACAAAAACTTTGTAAATCAGTAAATGTGATTAAAAAATTCTCTGATATACTTTAGACTAATTTTTTCATACAAAAATTTCTGTATTTAATATACCAAGATTTCTGTCTCAATAAGAAAAAATAAACATATTAATTATATCTAATATTAATAAATTTAAGAAAGTGATTAAATCAAAGATGATTTAATTTAAAAACTTTTCAAATCTTTTAATTATCTTAATATTTAAGATTATTAAATTTTTTAAGAAATCTGAATCTTCTAAACCATTTCTGAATTATTTTTCAAACTTATCAAATTTAATAATAGAAAGTAATACTAAAAATAAAGTATAATCATAAATATCCAATTAATTTTATCTTTAACAATAAACAATTTTAAAGTTCCTTTTTTTATTTTAAAATACAACTTGAAACAAAAAAAAAATTCTGAAAATGTTATACAAATTGAATTAAACATAATTCAATCAATTTACAAATAATTCAACAAAATAAAATAAAATATTATTGTTAGATAAGAAAGTATAATTTCTTTATTTTATAATAGATTTTCTTTATATTTTTTTTTTATCACAAACTTTTCTTCTCCTAAAATTTTTGAGAAAATCTTAATTAAAAATATAACTAACCATCACAATTAACTTTTTACTATATATAACAATCTTAAAAAGCTTAAAGAATTAAAATAATTTAGCATACAAAAAGAAGTGATTAACTAATAAAGGTTAAAACAAATATATCAAGAGTATTAATCTACTATATTCATTAAGATCTTTCAATTTTAATAAGGATTTTATCAATAAAATTATTTTCAACAAGTATAAATATCTATAAAATTAAAGTAATAATAGATATTAAAAAAAACTTTTAAAAAAAACTAATATTAATTGTAAATCATAAGTATAAATATTTAAAATAGTTTAAAGCATTTTAATGATTATTGAAATAATACATTATTTTCAAATGAAACTGATAAAATTATTAGTAGAAAGACAAAAACTGATATATCTTATATTTAAATATTAAATAAAAAAATTTTTTTATAAAGAGTATTATATAAGAAAAACAAAATTTACATTATTTTTTTTAAAATAATAAATTAAAATTTATATTAAAAATTTGTTAAAAACAAATAATAATTTTAATAAATTAATTATCTAAGTTTTTTTTTAAATAAAAAACCTTTAGAGATTATTAAAAAAAATGTAGAAAAGAAAATATTAGTGTCTTTAGTAATTATGATCAAAAAATAAAATAATATTTTTAAAATATTATAATAAACTTATTATAGAAAAAAATTTAAATTACATTTATATTTAAAATATAATAAAATAAACTGATTTTCAATTTCTAATTATATAATTTTTACATAATTTATATCATTTGTTTTTTGTAAAATACAATTTTATAATTTCAGATTTTTTATCTTAGAATATATATATTAAAATTAATATTTTATATAATTATTATTTAAAATAATAATAATAGTTATATAATACTTCATATTACTGTATAGTTCTAAAAATAAGCATCCTATAACACGCTCTTTTTATAGTAATTTATTTATTTGTCATATGGAATTTATTATATTATTAATCATGTATATACTGATAAATTCATATATATCACGTGATGCTTATTTTTAGAACTATACAGTATCTATCAAATTTATAATAATTTTAAATAAAAAAATAATTTTATTTTTCAATTTACATTTAATTCTTTTATTTATTGATTTTTTTTTTATATATTAATTTTAATAATTTTTATATATTTTATATAGGATTTTATTCTAATAATATTAATGATCAAAAAAGTAATTTAATATTATTTTTCTTTATAATATTTAAATAATATTTTAAATTATTATTTTATAAAAACTAATTTATATTATTTTTATAAAAAAATTTGAAAGACAATTTTACTTATAAATATTATATAAATTAATATTATTATAATTTATAAATATATAATTTTATTAAAATCTAAAGTAAAAAAATTTTTAAATATTGATTTTTGATAATTATTTAATAAAAAAAACATTTTTTCTTTTTAAAATATATTATTAAATATACTTTATCTTTAAAAATTTACTTAATTTCAATTAAAATTAATTTTTTTTACTTATAAAAAAATTTTTTTTAATGTTTTTTTTATAAATAATATTTAAAAATTAGTTTAATAAATATATTTTTATATTATCTTATTACCTTTATACTAAAATTAGTTATTAAACTAATTTCAGATTTTTAAAACATTTAAATCTTTAATTTCTATTAATGTTTTAATTTTTTA